GGTGAGCCTAGGGCCGACTTCAGCGGCGGAAGAGTTGGTTCCTCGTCCTTTGGTTTCACTACCGGCCCCGACGTCCGTCCTGGGGATTGGTACTGCGCCGTCGCCAACTGCGGCGCTCATAACTTCGCTAGCCGCTCTATCTGCTTCAAGTGCGGCGCTTCTAAAGATGACGCTTCCCCTGCCGCCGCCGCCGCCGCCGCCGCTTACGACGGCGATTTTACTAGAATGAGAGGCTTTAACTTCGGCGCTGCCTCCAACCGCCCTGGATGGAAATCTGGTGATTGGATCTGTTCCAGGTAGGGTTTCCAATTTTTCTCTAAATTCCATTTTCATCCCCACCACTTTCAATATTTTCAAATTTAGTCCATTTTTAATTATGATTTTAATTTTTTCATCCCATATCTACTAAATTAATCTATAAAAAAAAAGTCAAAAATTAATGTTACAGATCAAATTGCAACGAGCATAACTTTGCCAACAGAAGAGAATGCTTCAGATGTAATGCACCTAGAGATTCAAACAACACGTCTCCATACTCGTACTCGTAGAGGTAATTAATTAATTTCTAGAAACAAAATATCATATTTATAAATGGATCCCTAAACTCTTTCTCGGGTTTAATTAGTTATTAATATTATTATTTTGGGAATATTTTGCAATTTACAGGTGGTAGCAATGGAAGGATCAAATTCTAGCTAGAAAGAAGAGAGTTTCCAATCAGAACGTCGTCGTTTTGTTTTCTTTATTTTCCAGTTTCAAAAGTGATTTAAGGGTGGATTTATGCATGCATGCAGGAAAATACTTCGTATCCAATTTTCTAATTTATATTATATTAATCCGTAACTTTCACTTTATGTTATGTGCTTACCTCGAATTAATTTTCTAATAATAAATCACTTTATTATTTTATTATAATAAACACGTCACTAATATAGACGTAATATTTAGTCATACAAAATTTACATTATTTTTTTTTAAAGGAAGGACGTTAATTTAAATATTTTTAAATGAAATTAATTCTTTTTTTTTTTTTGGCTTTATCATGGTTTAACAAGCCAATTAATTTCCTAAATTAATTCAAACTCTTTAAAAACATCTTTCCCTTACATCATATTAATACTTTAGGTTAAAATTTGATCAACTATTTTATTTTATTTTATTTATTATTAAATAACTTAATTAACTAATGAAATAAAATATATACTTCACTAAACCCTCAATTTCTCATTTTGGATGATAATTCCAATTAGTGAACCCATCTCTAATTAATCATATAATTACCACAAAACCATTGACTTTATTTTGGATGAGCGGATCCGGTTCTCTTTCACTAATTAAAATTAATAATTAAAATAGAATCTAATCCCACCCACATTCATAATAATATTACAATTTTGGAATTAAATTATTTATGTCAAGAATTATTTTGACATTTTTAAAAGTTTAAGGACTTATTCGACATAAAATTGACATTTTTAAGGTATAATGTAATTTAAAATTTTATTTAGAGATTGAATTTGTATTTTAAATATCAATTTACAAGGAAAAAAGAAAATAACATAGGATTCCATAGCTTTTGAAAGTAAAAAAAATTGGAGAGAGGGGTTCTTTATGCTCCCCTTCATTGATCTTTTGGGAATGTATTTTGAAATGCAAAGAGAGATTGTGAATTGGTCAAAAAGTAGTAAGCACAAACATATTTATTCTTTATGTTACTTCATGCATATGGCCCTAAAATGGAGTTTCTTTTGCTCCCATTTATTTATTTATATTATCCATTAAAAGGATACAAATACTTTTGATAAGAATTTAAAAAGTAATTCTAAATACGGTCGTTCAAATAAATTTACTAATTCTTTGTTTGAGGCCAACTTAACGTCTCATTGCCATTCTATTCGATAAAACATTCTTTTATCTTTTAATGATACTGTGTTGGATAACTGAAATCTTCTAAAGACATGTAGTCTGTAATATAATATTTTTTAAAAGGGATACTTAGGCTAAAAATTACATGAAAACATGATAATTTAAAATTATATTGAATCAAATTTTGGTCGATAATATTTTTGTGATAACTGTAATGGTCAACGATTCAAAAGAAGAATGTAAAATTAAGAACTAGTTTGTAAATGGGTTAAAGTTTTTGAAGTTTTCTCTCCTTCTCTTTCCTTTATTTCTTAAGCATTTGTAAAAGTACTTTTTAATAAAGCGTTATGTTTACTTTTTCCGACCCCTTTTTTTTTCCTCGTTATGAAAAAGATGTCTTTGGAGAGGTCAAAGTTAAGACTGCATGCATTATGTCAAGATTCCCAAGGTCGTCCGCTTTAACATATTATGTATTTTTATTAGTCTCACGATTTTAAATATAACATAATGTTTATTAAAAAAATACCAAGATAGCATATAACAAAGTAAGGAGTAAAAGAGTAAATTTAAAAGAAACATCTCTATATTATATAGATAGATTTGGCTAGCTAGGAAATACAGATATAGCACCGAATATAGTTTGAAGGAGCGTGAGAACAATGAGCAAAGTTGCAGCAAAGAAGGAGACAATAGCCCATGGTGTATTGAAATAGTTGTGTTTGAGTGAAGCTTTTGCTTTGTTCCACCGTCTATTGCAGTGCTCATGTAAGGTTTTGCTGATATGGTTGAAGCGTTCATCACTTGAGATTTCAACAAATTTACAGAGATTGTTAATCAATTTTGAAACTTCTTTATCACTGCCTCCAATATTGTTGATTATGATTCCAGCTTTCTCAAGCAAACTCACGTCTTTCTCTGCGCTTATCAAATAATCCATGAAGACAACATATTGGATACACTTGCTCTCATTTTTCGAGGGAAAATGCTCAAATGCTATCAGGTTTCGCATTATAGTTTCGAAGAAATCATCAATTTGTAAAGGTGGGATCGTGAAAATCTCATAACACATTCAACATGTTTTGCTTTCTTGATAGTGACACCCGCCTCGCAGAGCTGAGTTATGGATGTTGGAATAGACAAGTTATTTTCATTATCGTTGTTCTTCAGAGTCATCATGGGAACAACAAAGTAGAAGCTTAAGAAATCGACAAAGTGCATTGGTTTTATTGGAGATGCATCAGGAAGAGAATAACCTTCGAATAACCTTCAACAATTCCACGCTGTAAAAACTTATTTGCTAGTGTTAAAACAACTATCCACGAGCATCATTTGAACGAAATCTTCATCGCTCATGTTTATGGGTTCTGCATAGCAATTTCGAGCTTCTTTCACCCAACTTTGAGTAGTTTTCACGAGGAACTCTAATGAGTCCATCTTGTTATCCAAACGACCTAGAAAGTTAATACAATATCGAAGCTTATATTGTTCTGTGGCTATCAAATCCTTTTGACTACAATGATGAAATGGACCTATAGAAATGGCTTGAGGGATATAGGCTATATTATTCATCTTGTGTAGTAGTCTCGGAACTCGAAAGATGCTACATTCTTCATTAACCGGAGGTAATTGTTCCATCATTTTTTTTATGGATATTACAACATGACCACAAAATTGTTCAACTTCACTAATTTCTGTCATCCTGTAGGGTATGCCATTTGCTTGATGAACTCCGATATGACCATTTTCCATTTAAAATGAAATACGGGCATTTTCAAATCCGAATAAAAAGTAATGTATATATATTTTAAAATGAACTAAAATAAGAAAACAAAAATAAATTTAAGGGAAACAAAGGATACCTTGTCTTCAAATTGAGGGAAAGAGATGGTGGTGAACGAAAAATGAGGGAAGAAAGGAAGAGAGTTGGTATGGAAGTGGAAGAAATAAGAAGGCAAGCTTCTTATAACTAAGTTCCTAAGTTACTAGTGATGGCAGCTGAGATAAATGATTACGAGGACGAATACCAGTAATAGCCGACTAACATAAATGATTACGAGGAGGAATACTAGTGATGGGCAGCTAACATAAATGATCCCGAAGAGGAATATCAGTAATGGACGACTAACATAAATGATCACGAGAAAGAATACCAGTAGTGGGCGGCTAACATAAATGATCACGTGGAAAACGTAGACAACTAAAGGACAATGAGGTCCTCTATTATTAATTATTCCACCCACTCTTCTTTTCCATCAACTTTCCTTGACAATTTGTTTAAAGTGATTGACATGTTGTGTCATAGTTATCACTTGCTAAAGAATTACATTTTTTTCATCTTCCTGATGATTTTCAGTAAAGGATGTGAACAAAATAAAAGAAATTTTCAGTATCGGAGAGCTATGGAATGTAGCATTAAATGTCTTCACGTGCATATCTTCGATAGAGAGTTCATCGCTAGGAGTATGTCAACTTAACCAAATTTTCGTCGTTACCGGTGAAAGATTGGTTTTATTTACAAAATATGAAAGAAAAACTAAAAACTAGTTTTGAATAAAAATTCAAATCCTTTAAAATTTTCAATATTTTCTCTCCCAATTTGGACGTAAAAGCATTTGTAAAGCACCATTTTACTAAAGTGGCTTTAATTATTATAATATTATGATCTATTTGTATATTAATTATAAAGTTGAAGATTAAACAAAAATAAATAAATATTTTTATTAGATATAAATTAAAAATTTATGTAAAAATTGTTATATTTATGAATTTTAGAAGTTTAAAGACCAAGACAGAATGAATTAAATTTATAATTTAATTAAAATTCTTTTTTAAAAAATAAAAATTTACATTGGTATAAATTCTTTTTATGTATTTTTTTTCATTATATCTTTTACCTGTTAATATATATTTTTTTATCACAATTGTATAAAATAATTATTTATAATTATGAGAATAATTATTACAATTGATTGCTTAATAAATTCAAAAGCTTCTGAACTAGGAACACATTTTGTGGATAATAATTAAATAATTATTTATCTAAAATTTATTAGTGGATGAAAATTAAATAATTAATTATCTAAAATGAACTAGTATAATAAAATTATTTAAAATAATTAAGAGGAGAGAGAAAATTGAAGTAAAAAAACATTATGATTGAAAATTGTATGAAAATAAGAGAAACAACATACTAGAAGAAACATAATTTCTAAGGTATAATAGGAAACACAGAGAATATAGTTTGTAAGAGAGTCAGAATAATAAGCAAGGTTGCAGCAAAGAAGGAGACAATAGCCCATGGTGTATTGAAATAGTTATGTTTGAGTGAAGCTTTTGCTTTGTTCCATCGTCTATTGCAGTGTTCACGTAAGGTGTTGCTGATATTGTTCAAGCTGTAATCACTTGAGGTTTCAACAAATTTGCAGAGATTGTTGAACAATTTTGAAACTTCTTTATCACTGCCTCCAATATTGTTGATTATGATTCCAGCCTTCACAAGTAAATTCACGTCTTTCTCTGTGCTTATTAAATCATCCATGAATACAATATATGGGATATAATTGCTTTTATTTCTCAAGGGAAAATGCTCAAATGCTATCAGATTTCGCATGGTTGGTTCGAATAAATCATCAATAACTAAAGGTGGGATTGTTAAAATCTCATTTTCGAACCTTATGTCCATCATAGAAATGAAATCTTTTGCTTTCTTAATGGTGACACCAGCCTCGTAAAGCTCAGTTATCGTTGGAGGAGTTATCGGGCTATTATTATTATTGTTCTCTAGAGACGTCTTTGAGACGAAGAAGAAGCTTAAAAAATCGACCAAGTGCTTTGGTTTTATCGACGATAGATTAGAAAGAGAACAATTGGCAACAAGTTCCTGTCTGAAAAATATATATGTTAATTCTTTAAAGGAGACAGAGGTTATATTTGGTATGAGGCCGAACAGACGTTCAAGAAGGAAGAAAGGGACTTGATTTTCCAACATAATCAAATCAGTAAATAGCTCGATAGATCTTTGGTGGAAGGTTAGATCTAAATTGTTTGGAGTTTGGAAGCCGTTGTGATTTTGTATCAAAAACTCTACTAGGAAACAACCATCCACAATCATCATGTTAACAAATTCCTTATCATTCATGTTTATGGGCTCTCCATAGCAATTTCGAACTTCTTTCATCCAAGTTTGAGTATTTTTCTTAAGCAACTCCAATGAATCCCTCTCGTTACCTAGACGGCTTAGAAAGTTCAAACAACGTCGAAGCTTATATGGCTCAGTAGCTAACAAATCCTTTCGATAATGGTGAAATGGACCTATGGAAATGACTTGAGGAGTATAGGCTCTATGATTCATATTGCGTAATAGTTTAGGAACTCGAAAGATGCTACATTCTACATTAACAGGAGGTAGCTTGTCTATCATTTCTTTTATGGATAGTACAACATTACGACGAGGATGTTCACCTTGTTCAGCTTCACTAATTCCTGCCATATTGTATGGTTTGTCGTTTATCTGATCAACTTCAGTCTGACTATTTTCTATTTCAAACGAACATCCACCTTTTCAAATTTCCTGGAATAAAAAGTAATGCATATATATTTGAAAATGAACAAACATAAGGAAGCAAAAATGAATTTAATGAAACGAAAAGATACCTTGATGGAAGATGGTGGTGGTGAATGAAAATGAGGGAAGGAAGTGGAAGAAATAGGAAGGCTTAGGTTGGGATGACCAAGTAAACTACCACTAATGGCGGTCACATGGAGGTGTAAATATATAGACATTTCAAGGACTCGCCCTCACGTATGTAAGTACAAGCTTAAGAAATTCTCTTATATTCATGGGTAGTAGTCAATTAATCAGTGTAACCAAAGTGTTTACAAGTATATTTTTCACACTTTCACACTACACGTCTCACTTACAAAACTACTCTCAATTACCTTTAGATAGATACAAAATGACACTGACTTTACGTCTCAAACAATGCTAGACAAATTTTTATATCCGCAAGTAATACTAATGTTTATACATGAATCAAGATGATTCATGTACCAATATGAGGGAGTGTACTGCTGTGAGAATGAACCAAATGTTCATGGCAATTGTTCATTCTCGATAATAAATCTAGACAACTGTTGGACAATGAAACGTTGGGTCCCCTATTCTAAATTATTGAGACGGTGAGTTTACTATTCAAAATTATTGAAATGGAGGGGTCGCGTATTCCAAAAGCAGGGGTCCATTGAAAAGTATAAGCCATATTCTGTTGGCTACTAGGGCCAACATTATCACGTGGGAGAGTCAACATAGGTCAATTAAAACGACAATAAGACAATGGGTCCTCTATTGATAACCAAATATACTATGATGAGGCTTGACATAAATGATCACAGGGTGGTATAAATGTTGTAGTGGAAGTGGAAGCAAGAACGATGGTACTCACATACTCACAAACATAAATGAACAAAGAGACACAAAGATTTACATGGTTCAAAGAAAAGAAATTTTCCAACACTATAACCAAAGTGTGTATAGGTGTATCTCTCACACTCTCATACTACAATGTTTCACTTACAAAACTCTTCTCAATTGCCTTTAGGTAGATAAAGAATGATACTGATTTCACATCTCAAACAATGCTAGACAAAATTTTTATATAGGCATGACAATACTGATGCTCATACATTAATCAAGATGATTCATGTACCAATACGAAAGAATTTACTACTATAGGGATGAGCCAAATGTTCATAACAATTCTCGATAGTAAATATAGACAAGTACTGGACAATAAGATATTGGTCTTTTATTCTAAATTATTGAGACGGTGGGTCCTCTATTCCAAATTATTGAAATGGAGGGGTCGTCTATTCCAAAGTAAGGATTTATTGACAATCTTTGTCTACTTTTATTCTTATGGTTCTTTAATAATGGATGTCCCACTATTTAAACAAATAAAAAGTTTGTTTTATGACATATAAATTTAAATTATATGTGCAATGAAACTAAAATTTCTAATTTTTGAGTTTTCTATATAAGGAAACAATTATTTAAACGGTATATACCGAACATATTTCTTAAAATTTATAAACAAGATAGTCATTTATTGAACTCAAGTATATTTAATTATTTTTAATGAATTATTTAGGTTTAACTAATAGTTAATTTTGAATAAGTGTATAATGATAAATTTTGATTCTTGTTTCTATTTTTCACTCGTCATCTTTCTACGATCGAGTAAATAAAAATCTATTATCATTATTTTTTTATAATATAGAAATAATGACATAATTCAACGAGCAGCTGATATATATTTACTTTGAGATTAAAAGTCTAAATTTTAATATCTTACTCATTTTATTTTTAAAAAAATGATTTATGAAACAAAATTGAGGTTTGAATTGACTCTCACGACACATCAGCTACTGAATATATGTAAATGTGAAATAATTAATATCTTAATTGGCTCTTGATTTTGAACTTCTTTATGTTAATTAAATATTTTCATTGTATTTAAATTATTAGCATGGACTATTAATAAAATATTCAAACATATACAAAGAAGTATCCCATCAACAATAGAACTGAAGTGAAAGCAGCAGGTTTGAAGTTTCAATGGGTCGAATTTGGAACACAGAGAAGAGGGAATGTTAAATGGGGTGGGCCGAATTATGTGGTATAAGGTTGAATAGATGGTGAACAACGAAGAAAGGGATTTGATTTTCTAACTTAATCAAATCATAACATATCTTGTGGTTTCTTCGGTATAAGGAACGATCAAAACTAGTGTGAAATGATGCATTTGGATAATAGTTTTCATAACATCCCATAAAAAACTCCACTACAAAACAACCATCTACGAACGTCATTTTAACAAAATCTTGGTCGCTTATGTTTACGGGTTTTGCATAGCAATTTTGAGCTTCTTACATCCAAGTATGAGCAGTTTCTACGAGCAACTCCAATTTCATCTTGTCACCAAACGGTTTAGAAAGTTATTCCAATGTCGAAACTTATATTGTTCTCTGGCTATCAAATTCTTTCGACTACGATGGTGAAATGAGCTGATGGAAATGACTTGAGGGATATAGACGGTTTTATTCATCTTGCGTAGCTTATCAAAATGAGACATATTTGATACACTTGCTCTCATTTCTCGAGGGAAAAAATCGTCGTATGCTATCATGTTTTGGCTTACTAAGAAATGCATATATAACAGAGAATATAATTTGAAGGAGAGTCATAACAATGAGCAAGGTTGCAATAATGATGGAGATAATAGTCCATGGTGTATTGAAATAGTTATGCTTAAGTGAACCTTTCGCCTTGTTCCATCTTCTATTACAGTGTTTATGTAAAACTTTGTTGGTATTGTTGAAGCAGTCATGGTATGATTGTTCAACAAATTTGCAAAGATCGTTAAACATTTTTACAACTTCTTGATCACAACCTCCATTATCATTGATTATGATTCCTTCTTGTTCAAGTAAACTCACGTCTTTCTTTGTGTTTATCAAAGCATCCATTTTTTAAGGAAAACTGTTCAAACAACGCTATCACATTTGGTATCATTGTTAAATAATTAATGTCTTAATGGGATCTTTATTATTTATTAGTTCAATATTAACCTTATATGACCAATGTTTTTGGCTTATATCTCGATTTATAAATATTCTACATTAATACTTTAACATATAAAAAAGTTTTAAAAAATACCCTTAAAACCATTCATAAATTTAGAAAAATCATTCTAACATACCTTAGCTACCGTCCTCTATTACAAAACAAAATCGGTATGTGAGAAAATGATGAGTGTCCTTCCATTCAAATGTGTAAGAAAATAAGATTTGTAACAAAAAAATAGTAAAACTTCTTAATAATAACATCAGTAAATACAAGGTTAACATTTAACAAGGTAACAAGGTTGGAAGAGCAACTGAGTAAAACTAGAAGGTACATAAATGGATAGGTTTGACTACTTCTGAAGGGTGGATATACAAGAAAATATAGTTTGAAGGAGGGTAAGAAAAAGGAGCAAGATTGCACCAAAAACGGAGATAGAAGCCCATGGTGTACAAAAATAGTCATGTTTGAGTGTAGCTTTCCTCTTGTTCCAAGATTTATTGCAGTGCTCACTTAAAGCGTTGCTAATATCGTTGAAGCGGCCATCACTTGGCTGTTCAACAAATTTACAAAGATTGTTAAACAATTTTGAAACTTCTTTATCACTACCTCCAATGTTGTTGACTATGATTCCGGCTTTCACAAGTATATTCACATCTTTCTCGGTGCTTATCAAATAATCTAAGAATGTAATATATGGAATACACTTACTCTCATTTTCTGAGGAAAAATGTTCAAATGCCATTAGGTTTCGTACTATAGCTTCGAAGAAATCATCAATAATTAATGGTGGGATTGTGAAAATCCCCTTTCGGAAGCCAAGGTTCATCAAAGAGTTGGAATTTTCTAATTTCTTCATGGTGACACCAGCATCGCATAGCTCAGATATTGATGGGGGAGTAATAAACACCATGTCATCACTTATTTCCTCTGAAGCCATTAGAGGTTCGGCAAAGAATAAGCTTACGTAGTCGACAAAGTAGAAGCTCAAGCAGTCGAGTAAGTGCTTTGGTGTTGAATATAGGGAACCAAAAGGATAATAAGTACGTACTAATCCACGTTGTAAAAACGTTACCGCAAGTTGTATGAAGGAGATGGGGTCACCATTATTTTGTGGTATAAAGTGGAACAGACGTTCAAGAACGAAGAAAGGGAGCTGATTTTCCAACTTAATTAAATCAATATATATCTGGTGGATTCTTTTGCATAAGGAAAGATCCAAACTGCTATGAATTTGAGCGAAGGAGTCGGGGTAATGTTGTTTATAATTCTGTATCAATAACTCCACTAGAAAACAACCATCCACTAGCATCATTTTGATAAAATCCTCGTCGCTCAGCTCTATCTGTTCTGCATAGTAATTTCGAGCTTCTTCTACCCAAATTTGAGTAGCTTTCACAAGAAATTCCAATGACTTCATCTCGCTCTCTAGATGGTATAGAAAGGTAATACAACTTCGAAGCTTATATTGTTCTTCGGCTATCAAATTCTTTTGACTACGATGGTGAAATGGACCAATAGAAATAACTTGAGGAGTATACATTGTCTTATTCATCTCGCGTAGAAGTTTGGGAACTCGATGGATGCTACATTCAAAATTATGAGGAGGCAGTTCTTTCATCATTTTTTTGATGGATATCACAACATTACCACAAATACGTTCAGCCTCACTAATTTCTTCCATATTGTAAGACATGTCATTTACTTGATGAACTTCAATCTCACTAATTTCTTCTTGTACCTGATCAACTTCAATCTCACTATTATTCATTTTAACGGTTGTACCACGTTTTAAATCTAAATAAAGAGCCATGCATATGATATTTATACATAAAAGGAAGAAAAAAAATAACAAAGAAGATGAAAATGAAGAAGTACCTTGTATGCAAATTGAGGGAAGAGTGGAAGAGAGGTGTGGAGTAAGAAGAGAAGGTCTTGGAAGTGGAAGAAATAAGAAGGCTAAGGTTGGGATGACCAAGTAAACTACCACTAATGGCAGCCTCACATATATGATCACATGGAGGATTAAATATATAGACAGCTCAAGAACTCGCATATATAGACAGCTCAAGAACTTGCCCTCACTCTTCATTTCCTTCCAAACTTGTTTGATACTTGTTCACCCGATATTCGGGTTTACATAAGTTTTTAGAGGGTGCTTTTCTCACGACTACACGAGTCCCGTTATCTACAAGATCGGCTCCAACGATTAAGAGATACAAGCTATATGATGGCCAATTGTAACCGTCTAAGTTCAAAGCTAGTTGATATTGTTCATTTTGGATCGTTATATTATCACCGTCAGCCTCTTGATTTTAAAATGCATATGACTTACGACAATACGTAACGGGTCAAAACGAATAATATCGGTTAGCTATGGACTTGGGTTGTAATAAATGGTATCAAAGCTAGACACCAAGCGGTAGATTATGAGGTCTGGCACTGGTTGGAGAGACATTCCTTATAAAAGTGTGGAAACTTCTTCTTAATAACCGCGTTTTAAAACTAGGTAATCATTTGGTTACAAAGTTACCACAAAATTGTTCAATCTCACTAATTTATGTCCTATCGTAAGGTATGTCGTTTACTTGATAAACACCGGTATGACTATTTTTCAATTTGGACCGATAAGCCCATATTATTTAATTTCCTTGAATAAAGAGGTATGAGTATATATTTTAGAAATGAAGTAAATGATGAATAAACGTAAGGAATAGGAATTGGAATGGATGGTTGGGCGGGTAGGGCTAACATTTATGAGGTTAGGTGAATTAAAAGGACAATGAGATGACCGTGTCCTCTATTTCTAACCATTTAAGACCCACTCTTAATTTTCATCTACTTTCCTGCTTCTCCTTCATCCTTCGCTGATCTCATTTGTGTTGGGAGGGGCGGAGAGCTCCATTTTGAACTACTGAGAAACAAGGAAACTAGAAACAAATACCAGTAGTTGAAGGGTACTCTGGAGTCTGGTCTGCAATGCCTTCACCAACACATTCATCCCTATTTATGCCCATCCTGACAGACCCCCTCAAATACTATATTAAATCTATTATAAATATACTTTTTTTTTTCCCTTAACTCATTCATCTCTCTAACTCACCAATTACATACTTTTTTAGAAAAATATCATTAAATTTATAAAAGTTTCAATAATGTAATTTTAAAAAAATGGCTATTTCTCAATTGATAATGATGAAGAAGGAAAAAAAAATCTTTCACATCAAATATGAGAGAATTGTCACCCACTAGACACGAATTGCTTGCATAGACCCATAGACAGGAAATATCTTAAATGTGCTCTTTGTTGTTTTTCACTATAAATCAATTATTTGAATGAAAGAAGCCATAAACATTAACCAATAATCACCAATTTTTTTTTCCCAATCATTCTTACCTATCAAAATATACTTAAAAGTGTTTTGGTGTTATCGACAACACAACAGGTATGCAAGTACAAGCTTAAGAAATTCTCTTACATTCATGGGTAGTAGTCAATCACGGTAACCAAAGTGTTTACCGGTATATTTTTCACACTCTCACACTACAACGTCTCACTTACAAAACTCCTCTCAATTGTCTTTAGGCAGATACAAAATGACATTGACTTTACATCTCATACAATGCTAGACAAATTTTTATATAATAGTAATGTTTATACATGAATCAAGATGATTCATGTACCAATAATGTGAGGATGAACCAAATGTTCATGACAATTCTCGATAATAAATCTAGACAATTGTTGGACAATGAAATGTTGGGTCCTCTATTTTAAATTCTTGAAACGGTGGGTTTACTATTCAAAATTATTGAAATGGAGGGGTCGTCTATTCCAAATGCAGGGGTCCATTGAAAAGTATAAGCCATATAATGTTGGCTAGGGCCAACATGGGAGAGTCAACATAGGTCAATTAAAACGACAATAAGACAATGGGTCCTCTATTGATAACCAAATATACTATGATGGGACCTGACATAAATGATCACATGGTGGTATAAATGTTGTGCTGGAGGTGGAAGCAAGAACGGTACTCACATGCTCACAAACATAAATGAACAAAGAGACACAAAGGTTTACATGGTTCAAAGAAAAGAAATTTTCCTACATCTACGGGTGGTAGCCAATCACTATAACCAAAGTGTGTATAAGTGTATCTCTCACACTCTCATACTACAATGTTTCACTTACAAAGCTCTTCTCAATTGCCTTTAGGTAGATAAAGAATGATACTGACTTCACATCTCAAACAATACTAGACAAATTTTTATATAGGCATAGCAATACTGATTCTCATACATTAATCAAGATGATTCATACACCAATACGAAAGAATTTACTATTATGGGGATTGTTCATGACAATTCTTAATAGTAAGTATAGAAAAGTGCTGGACAATGAGATGTTGGTTAAATTATTGATAAATATAATCCATACGATGACAGCTGAATTTAAAAGTTTTTCAATCTTTATCTCACTTTTATTCTTACGGTTCTTTACAAAGCCTTGTGCACTTGAAGCCTTATGCACTTGAGGCAACAGTTGTAAACAACTAAAATATAATGGAATGACACTATTTAAACAAATAAAAAGTTAATTATTTTATTACATATAAATTTAAATTATACGTGTGATGAAACTACCATTTTTAATTTTTGAATTTAGCATATTTGTGAATTTAATAAAACTCAAAAATTTAAAACTTAATTTAATAATTATAAAGTTTAGAGACTGTGTAAATTAAATTTATAGTTTTATCATCACTAATTTGAGAAGCTTAGATTGATAGCTTGTGGTATACAATCCATTTTCTTTTTTAAAAAAGAAATAAAAATTAACGTCATCTGTCTTTCAAATAAAAATGATAAATTTTGATTCTTGTTTCTAATTTTCACTCGGTATCATTTAAATAAAAATGACATAATTCACCAAGTAGCTGATACACATTTACTCTTAAGATTAAAAGTGTAAATTTTAATATGTTACTTATTTTATTTTTTTTAAAAATGATTTATGAAACCTAATTGAGGTTTGAATTGACTCTTACGATACATCAATTACTTATCCGTACTATATGAATGTGAAATAATTAATGTCTTAATTGGCGATTCGTTTTAACTTCTTTATATTAATTAAATATTTTCATTAAAGATTCAAACATATACAAAGTCCCATGAAATAGGACAGAAGTTCAACAAAAACAAACAAGTATCTTATCAACAATAGAACTGAAGTGAAAGCAGCATGTTTGAAGTTTCAATGGGCCGAATTTGGAAACAGACAAGAGAGAATGTCAAATGGGGTGGGCCGAATTATGTGGTATAAGGTTGAATAGATGGTGAACAACGAAGAAAGGGTTTTGATTTTCTAACTTAAATCATTATTTGGCTAATATTTTTCATAATATGGTATCAAAAACTCCACTATAAAACAACCATTCATAAACGTCATTTTAACAAAATCTTCTGTCGCCTGTTTATGGGTTCTACATAGCAATGTTGGGCTTCTTTCATTCAAGTTTAAGCAGTTTCTACGAACAACTCCAATTTCATCTTGTTAGCAAACAGTTTAGAAAGTTATTCCAATGTCTAAACTTATATTGTTCTCTGCCTATCAAATCCTTTCAACTACGATGGGGACATGGACCGATGGAAATGATTTGAAGGATACAAACTCTTTTATTCATCTTACATAATAGTTTTGGAACTCAAAAGATGGTACAACCTTTATTACTTTATCGTTGTTTGCTTTTGTTGAAATGCAATACCCACATTTTAAAATTTTTCCTTTTGACTTTTTTGGATTAATATCTTAACCTTATTAGTCTTAAAGACTATAAAATCTCTATAATAAACTGAAGGTATGATAAAAAAAAAAAAAAATATAGAATTGTTTTTTTTGTCATTTATTAAATAACTAAACCATGATAACAAATTTAAATATAGGTCTTAAAAAACATTCATGGCTAGAAATTTTCAGGCATGGTAACAAACTTAAATATAATATAATATTTATTGAAAAATGTATTTAATCACGCCAGAGGAGAAAATGAGTAATTTTTTTTTTTAAAAAAAACCTATATATATATATATATATATATATATATATATATATATATATATATATATATAATACACGTTTGGCTGGCTAGAAAATGTAGATATACAAGAATATAGTTTGAAGGAGTGTTAGAACAATGTGAAAGGTTACTACAAAAGAAGGAGACAATAGCTCATGGTATATTGAAATAGTTATGTTTGAGTGAAGTTTTCGCCTTGAGACATCAATCTATTGCAATGCTCATGTAAGACTTTTTTTTATATTGTTGAAGCCATCATTACTTGGGAGTTCTAAAAATTTATCAAGATTGTTAGACAATTTTGAAACTTCTTTATCATTACGTGCAATATTGCTGATTATGATTCTGATTTTCACAAGTAAATATACATCTGGCTGATTATGATTATGATTTTCACAAGTAAATATACGTCTTGCTTATCAAAATTCGACATATTTGATACACTTACTCTAATTTCTTGAGGGAAAAATCGTCATAGCTATCAAGTTTTAGTTTGCTAAAAAATGCGGATATAACTGAGAATATAGTTTGAAGGAGTGTCATAACAATGAGCAAGGTTGCAATAATGGAGATAGTAGTCCTTGGCATACTGAAATAGTTATGCTTAAGTGAACCTTTCGCCTTGTTCCATCTTCTATTATAGTGCTCGTATAAAGCTTTGTTGGTATTGTTGAAGCAATCATGGTATGGTTGTTCAACAAATTTGCAAAGATCATTAAACATTTTTGCAACTTCTTGATCACAACCTCCATTATCATTAATTATGATTCCTTTCTTGCTCAAGTAAACTCACGTCTTTCTCTGTGTTTATCAGAACATCCATTTTTCAAGGAAAAATGTTCAAATGCTATCAAATTTCGTATCATGAGTTCGAAGAAAGCATCGGTAACTAAAGTGAGAGTGTGAAAATCCCATTTTTAAAGCTTATGTTGATCACACATTTGGCATTTTCTTCTTTCTTGATGGAGGATGAGTTCTCTTGCACCTGCTTTTCTTATTATTGTTGTCCTTTGGAAGCATGTAGAAGGTTAAAATATCAACCAACTGTTTTGGCTTTATCAACAATGCATTAGAAAAACAATTCTCATCTCCAAATCCACAATGTAAGAATACAAATGTAAAGTCGTATAGACGTCGAAGAATGAAGAAAAAGATTTGATTTTCCAACATAATCAAATCAATATATATTTTATGGGTTCTTTTGTATAAGAAAAGATATAAGTCGTTTTAAGTTAAGAGAACGCATTTGGGAAGTATTGGATATAATATAGTATCATAAACTCAATAGAAATAACCATCCACAAGCATCAAGCATCATTGTAATGAAATCCTCATTGCTCATGTCTATGGGATCTGCATAGTACTTTTGGGCTTCTTTCACCCAAGTTTGGGCAGTTGCCAGGACTTCTACTTAGGTTATCTTATTACCTAGACGACTTAAAAAGTTAAGATAATGTCGGTGTTTATATGGTTCCGTGCCTATTAAATCTTTTCGACTACGATGGTGTAATGGGCATGAAGGGTAATAGGCTCTTTTATTCATCTTGCCTAGTAGTTTGGGAACTCAATAAATGGTACATTCTTTATCAAGAGGAGGATGTTCTTCCCTGGAGGATTGCAACATTACTGTAAACTTAGTTCAATCTTACTCATTTTAATAACAATGTGTTGTTTGGTTGTTGGTTGAAAATGAAATACCCACGTTTCCGTATATTTTAAAAATTACTAAAAAGAAGGAAGCAAAAATGAATTTAAATGAGGAAGAAGTGCCTTGTCTCCAAATTGGTGGAAGAAAAATGACTTGAAGGCAAGCTTGCGGTTCTCAGCCCTCTCAAATCACAATTATTTAAAGGTTATTCATTATCTTCAAAATTAAATTATGTTCCATTGATGTCATTTTCGAATAAATATCTTTCATTTTATTGGGCTTACAAGCCTATTAAATGAAAGCCCATTAATTAAATAAGCACGGTAACAAACTTAAATATGACATAACCTTGTTAACACTTAACTAGATAAGAGAAGCTACTGAGGAAAAAAAACATACATATATTATAGGGATTTTTAAGAAAAAGCAGATATCCCAGAGAATATAGTTTGAGAGAGAGTCACAATAATAAGTAAAGATGCAGCACAAAAGGAGATAAAAGCCCATGGCGTGCCTTGTTTCATCGTCCATCACAATACTTACGTAAAGCTTTGCTGGTATTGTTGAACTTGCCTTCACGTGGTTATTGAACAAATTTGCAGAGATTGTTAAACAATTTTGAAACTTCTTTATCACTGCCTCCAATATTGTTGGTTATGATTCCAGCTTTCACAAGTAAATTCACGTCTTTCTCCGTGTTTATCAAATCATTCATGAATACGATATATTGGATACACTTTCTTTGATTACCCAAGGGAAAATGCTCAAATGCTATCAGATTTCGCATGGTGGGTTCGAAGAAATCATCAATAACTAAAGGTGGAATGGTTAAAATCTCATTTTTGAAGCTTATGTCCATCACATGCTTGAAATCTTCTGCTTTCTTAATGGTGACACTAGCCTCATGAAGCTCAGTTATCGATGGAGGAGTTATTAGGCGATTATTATTATTGTTCTCTAGAGACGTCTTTGAGACGAAGTGGAAGCTTAACAAATCAACTAAGTGCTTTGGTTTTATCGACGATAGATCAGAAAGAGAATAATTGTCAATGAGTCCACGTTTATAAAACATAAAGGTTATGTGTATAAAGGAGATGGAGATTGTATTTGGTATAAGGTGGAACAGACGTTCAAGAAGGAAGAAATGGACTTGATTTTCCAACATATCAAATCAGTAAATATCTCCATAGATCTTTGGTGGAAGGTAAGATCTAAATTGTTTGGAGTTTGGAAGCATGTATTTGGGTAGTATCGGTTATGATGTTGTATCAAGAACTCTACTAGGAAACAACCATCCACAACCATCATGTTAAGAAATTTCTCATCATTCATGTTTATGGGTTCTCCATAGCAATTTCGAACTTCCTTCATCCAAGTTCGAGTATTGTTCTTAATTAGCTCAAAGGAATCCATCGGGTTACCTAGATGGCTTAGAAAATTCGAACAGTATCGAAGCTTATATGGCTCAGAGGCTAACAAATTCTTTCGGTGATGATGAAGTGGACCTATGGAAATGACTTGAGGGGTATAGGCTCTATGATGCATATTGCGTAACAGTTTAGGAACTCGAAAGATGCTACATTTTTCATTAACAGGAGGTAGCTTGCCCAACATTTCTTTTATGGATAGTACAACATTAGGATGAGGTTGTTCACCTTGTTTAGCTTCACTATTTTTTGGCATATTGTATGATTTGTCGTTTGCCTGATCAACTTCAGTCTGACTATTTTCTATTTCAAACGAACATTCACGTTTTCAAATTTCCACATATATTTAAAAAGGAACGAAAATAAGGAACCAAAAATGAATTTAATGAAAAGAAAAGATACCTTTGTGTGCAAATTGATGGAAGAAGATGGTGGTGGTGAATGAAAATGAGGGAAGGAAGTGGAAGAAATAAGAAGGCTAAGGTTGGGATGACGAAGTAAACTACCACTAATGGCGGCCTGACATATATGATGGCATGGAGGAGTAAATATATAGACAGCTCAAGGACTACCACTCACTCTTCATTTCCATCTACCTTCCTTCAAACTAGTGCTTCTCCTCTCTCTCAAATGACGATAAGTATTAATGAGATATGAAAAGAGAAATATATTTATGAATAAGACATATTTGGGTTCTAATTGCCAAGGGGTTTTTTACTTGGAGCTTACTTATCAAGGAATAATAAGATAATTTTCATCGATGTTAAGGCATGATGGAAATCGAGCATTTCTTATTTGGGTGTGAAAATCTCTCTCTAGTAAACGCATTTTGAAATCGTGAGACTGACGACGATATATAACAAGTTAAAGTGGACAATATCCGTTAGAAATGGACTTAGGTTATAAAATTATTCAATCTTACTAATTTTTGTCATATTATAAGATAGGTTGTTTCTTTGGTGTGGTGGGAACTTATTATTTACCACTCACTAAAATAAAATAAACAAAATCTAAAACTTTAATTTTTTTTCTTCTATAAGAAAGTACAATTTTAATTAGTATTGTTTTTTTTTTTTAATTTCTTGGATTCATTTATTTGTTTATGGTTCACGTAATTATGAACGGGGAGTTCTCAATTAAACTAAAAATGGTAGGAGGTTTGAATATAAATTTAATAGACCCAACTTAAACCTAAGTTGTTGAATTCCAATTAACAGCTTTGTTTGAATCCAGTGACTACATCGTAGTTGTAATAGTTGAGTTGCTACGAAGTCATCCAACGATGGCAGCGGCCAATAATCTTTCAATTGTAATATGGAAGAAAATATTAATAATAAAACTTATGTGGATATAACAAAAAATATATATTATTCGTAATGAATAGAATAAGATGACGAGAAATTTTAATCGTTTGAGAATTAATACGTCATTAAATGATATATATAATTTTATTTGTAAGACGTATGACAATAGAGGTAGTAAGAATGGAGGAGTAAAGAAAAAAAGAATTTTTAAAAGGAATAAATATACGAGTAATTAATAAGTCCAAAAATTCTCACTTTTATTAAGTTCAAAATAACTCAATTTAAGTAACGACAAATAAAATATATACTTTCACTCAACCCTCGATTTCTATTTTTGAATGATTACCACTAAACCATTCGCTTTATTTGGAATGGGAAAAAAATCTAATTCAACATTGTTCATAATAATAATATTAATTAATTCAAATTTTGAAATTAAATTATATGAATTAATTAAAAAGTTTAGTATATTAATTTTTTAATTTTATATCTAATAAAGATGAGTATTTTTTTAAAAATAAGTTTCAAAATTTAAAATTTATTATCTAACAGATTCATTAATTTTAAAAAATGTTTAAAATAAATTGAAAATTTAATACCCATTTTATGAAGAAAAAGAAATTATATAGGATTCTATAGCTTTTGAAAATAATAAAAATTGGGGAGAGGGGTTCTTTATACTCCCCTTCATTGATATTTTGGGAATGTATTTTGAAGTGCAAAAAGAGATTGTGAATTGGTCAAAAAGTAGTAATAAACACGAACATATTTACAGTTTGGGACATGCCAACTTAATGTCTCATTGTTATTTTACTCGATAAAGCATTCTCTTATTTTCTTAATGATACTATATCGGGTAGTTGAAATCTTTTAAAGGCATATGATTTATAATATAATATTTTTAAAAAGTGATATTCGAATATTAAGAATTATATGAAAACATATTAATTTAAAATTTTTTATCTTCACGAGCGAAATTTCGAAAGTATTTTTTGCGATAACTTTAATAAATGGATTCGAAAGAATAAGAAAATTTTCTCATTAGTAAAAGCACTTTTTAATAAAGCGTAGTTTTTTTTTAATTTGAAACTCCATTTTAACTAAAAGGGTTAGGTATAAATATTATCAAAATATTTTTTTTTCATCCATATAAATAAACATAATTCAATAATAATTATTGATGTATATTATTAATATATTTAAATTCTAACGCTTGACTATTAATTAAATATTACTATTATGTTTAATTTCTTAACTATCATAAATTAATACAAACACAATAATTATGAGTATCTTTTATCAATAAAAATTATTTTTTTATAACTTCGACTTATTAAAAAAAACACAATTTTATAATTTTTAATCTAACCTTAATTAACGTATATTAATTTAAGAATAATTTACTTATTTCACTTTAAAAAAGTTTAATTTAATGAATCAATTTTTACTGTTTAAAACACTATTTCCTCTCAATTAAAAAAGAAAAAAAATATTGAATGAGCGGGACTCCAATTAATTACATCGACTATACGTGATAATGACAAAAAAATATATATATTACCCCCACCATCCTAAAATAAAATGTGAATTTAGACGTTTTCTAATTATTTCTTCCACTATAAATATAATTTTGATAATCTTAAATTTATTTTATTTTTTTATACTTTTAATAAATTTTAAATTTATTCTTTTTTTTTTCTTTTTTATTATTATTATTTTTTTCACAACTATATCAGCCTAACTTTCTTTTTCTTCCATTCTTTGTTTTTAATTTTGCTTTTGTTGTCTATTTTTTTGGTTAATTATTTGTGTTTTGTATCGTTCTTTGCCACTGTAGACCATAAATGATAATAAATTAAAATACATGTGTTATGTCGGGAGGAGTGAGATTAACTAATCATATATGATTTTATAAACATGATATTCATAATTAATTGTTTAATTATTTATAATTTTATTAAAATTGTTTATTTGAGAATAGTTATTAATATTGATAGTTAAATAAATTCAAAAGTTAAAGGCATTTTATTTATAATAGAAATATAAATTAGTAAAATTTAAATAAAAAAGTTTATATAATTGTATAATATACTTTATCTCATTTTATATCATTTACTCTACTATATACAACATTTCATTTTTAAAATATAAGTTGACTTAATAAAATAAATGAGTTTAACAACCATTAAAAATTAAATAATATAATAAAATAGTTGAAAATACTTTAATTATTTAATTAACACTCATGAGACATCATCAAAGTTTGACTGAGTGATAGATACTAAATTAAAGATTTATTGAAAGAATATATAAAAGGAGTCTTGACAAAATAAAACAAACCAAATCTAAAGCTTTAATTTTTTTTTTTTTCTACAACTTTAATTTTTTTTTTTCTTTTTTTATTATTCATTTGGGATTATAATTTCAGCTATCAAATAGATGGAGTTCTCACTTAAGCTGAAAATGGTACGAGGTTTGAATATACATTTAATAGATCCAACTTCAACATAAGTTGTTGAATTCTAAACTCAGAAAAAGCATAATTTGAATTGGATCCAATTAAAAACGTTCTTCGAATCCAGTGACTACAGCGGCAATGGTCTGTATAAGAGTGAGAAGAAGGAGAAGGATGACCGCAATGGAGGAAGCACAGAGCTATGACGTGCTGAAATAGTTGCGTTGCAACAACGTCATCCAATGATGGCCGCAATCAGAATTGTAGTAGTTGACTCCAAGGCACATGTGCTTACCGAGGTTGTTGAATAAGAGGTGATGATCCCTCTCTCAATCAGCAATTTCATGTCTTGGTCTGACTGGACCAAGAACTGCATAAACACACCAAAGTTACTCACCTAGTTCCTTAACTCACTATCAATATGGCATTGCTCCTAAGTTATAAGGTTCTTCACACGCTTTTCATAATCGTCGTATATGTTGATTAGCGGCAGGACCACCAAACAGGCATCCAAGACCAGAAGTTCCACAAATTCAACTCTGCTCATCTCCATGGATTCTGCATAACAACAGCGAGCTCTTTGTTCCAAAGTCTTACAATCGTGTTCACGGATGGCTGAGATCAAGTAAATGTCGAAGGTACATGGGTTTGAGTGAATTAGCCATAAGATCTTTTATACGGTAGTGAAAAGGGCCGATAGAGATGGCAGTGGGCATATAATCTCCTAGGTTGATGCTGCTCAGAGGTTCTGGAACCTTGTAAATGGTACCGTCGAAAGAACAAGATGAAACAGGTTGTTGAACAATACGATTAATGGATAGTCTATGAATTATGTCTATTAAAATTGTTATTAATTTTTAAAATTCAGACAAAATTTAAAATTTTTGAGTTTCATAATAAATTATGTCTAATAGAACAATTATTTTTAATTTTTAAGAAAATTGAACTTATCCTGAGACTATTAGATATCTGTTATGTTTACCCCTATTAAATACATAATTGAAAATGTAAAGATTTATTAGACAATTTCAAAATAACCAAAGAGATACTAAAATTGACTATTTAAGTAATTGTCATTTGAGAGGGAGAAAGAACCATACCCTTGGGTTCTTATTTTCTTCCAAAGAATGACTCTTCCTTCCTTCCCTCATTTTAGTTCAACACCAACATCTTCTTCCATCAAGTTTAAGATAATTGAGATGAATTTTGTAAGTGAAACATTGTAATAGGATAGCATGAGAGATACAGTTGTAAACAATTTGGTTAGAGAGATTGACTATCACTCGTAAAGTACGAGAATTTCTTTTCTTTGAACCATGTAAATTTTTTTGTCTCTTTGTTCATTTGTGTTCGTGGGTATGTGAATACGATCATCGCTCATGTTTATGGGTTCTCCATAGTAATTTCGGGCTTCATTCATCTAAGTTTGAACAATTTCTATGAGCTAACTCCAATGAATTCATTTTGTCATCCAGACAATTTAGAAAGTTATTACAAAGTCAAACTTATATTGTTTTGGCTATCAAATCTTTTTTACTACGATGGTGAAATGGGTTGATGGAAATGACTTGAGGGATATAGGCTATTTTATTCATGTTGCATAGTGGTTTTGGAATTCGAAAGATGGTACAATCTTTATTAGCCCGAGGCATTTCTTCTTCTTCTTCTTCTTTTTTTTTTTTTTTTTTTTTT